ACTTAATTGCAGATGATATTAAGGTCTTGGGTGTTGCTAGCTGTGAAGAGGATTCTGATGATTTACAAAAGGATTTAGATCATTTCGTAAGTTGAGCAAATAAATGGCAAATGGGTTTTAATTATAATAAATGCAAGATAATGCATGTGGATTTTCATAATTGGAATTATAAGTATAATTTGGATGGGAATAACCTTAACAGTGTCATGAAAGAAAGGAATCTTGGTGTAATAGTTAATCAATCTCTAAAGTCATCCAAGCAGTATGCTGTTGCTAGTGGTAGGGCAAAGAGGATTTTAGGTTGTATCTACAGAAATATTGAATACAAGTATAAAGAGGTTATAATTTCATTGTATAGGTTACTGGTTAGGCCATATTTGGAATATTGTGTTCTGTCAGTCTTGGATTCCTTACCTTAGGAAAGACATTAAATTGTTGGAAAGGGTTCAGAGAAGGGTTACTAGAATGGTGCCTGAGATGGAGAGGCTGTTATACAAGGAGATGTTGAAATCTCTTAAACTGTATTCTCTTGAAAAAAGAAGAGTTGGGTGGGGGATCTGATTGAGGTGTTTGAAATTGTAAAGGGAATTGATAGTGTTGATGCATCATCGTTTTTATATTTAACAGTGGGAATAGTAGGACTAGAGGACACAAATATAAATTTTGGCAGGGTTGGAGTCATCTTCGGCTAAGGCAGTTTTATTTTTCTAACAGGGTGGTTGGCCTTTGGAATGGGTTGTCTTCAGATGTTGTGGAGGCAGTAAATTTAAGTGAGTTTAAGAGAAAACTTGATAAGTATAAGATTGATAAGGGCTGGCTAAAGTTAATTAATAAGTTTATTAATAGTTTTAGTTTAGTTTAGAGGTGGAACAGCCGAGATGTACCAATAGGTCCTATATTGTCCCGAAACGTTATGTTATAAATGCACTAAAGCAACTACTAGTGCATCCAGTTTAAATTAACTACTCCAAATGCTATGGTCTACTAGATGGTATCAGTTTTATAAACACATTTGTGTTATAACTTTATCATTCCCCAAGATTAAGGTATTATGAAGATCATGTCCTATAACAACAAGAAAGTGAAAAAAATAGCTTGTTTTCTCTAACCAGGCATAGTGCTGTTAATTTGAAAGTCTAAATTTAAAATTGTTCTTGTTCTGCAAATATAGGTGAGTTAACTCACCTATTGTGTATCTAAAGATTTGGTATCTTAATAATTTAAGTATGTTTTTTGTTGAAGAAGTACTGAATTTTTTTTTTCTGTAATCTAAAACAGCACTACATACCATTAAAATCAATGGTGATATCACAGTCCAACAAGCCTTCCAAAATAGACCAGGATGGGATCCTAGCATGAACTCCATGTCATCAGAAAACCTACATACACCTGCAAAAATTAATTATTTTGAGATTAAATAAATTTAGTTAGTTAATTAATTTTTCTTTCAGTGAATCTGTTACTACATTTTCTCACAGTGCCATATATCTTGCTCTTTTATACTATATATTTCATATTTACAAAACTTTTGATTATGTTAATGTTCTAATTTGGAATACTAAATCTGTTTAAGGTTGTATGCCAGTTGAACCCTATGTGTTGCTTTCTGTAGCATGACTCAGTCATAAAAATTATGTACAGCTTCATGGAATAGTTACATCATGTTTTACTCTATCATGTGTGTGTTGCGGTGGTGGTGGGGGACTGCTCTATGATTGGCACATGGAACACATACTTCCATTTGTGATTGCTCAACAACAGAGACAATGTGCATTATAAGAGCAGTTTTTCAGATAAAATAGCTTCTGCTTTGAAAGGGCCAAGACCTGCTGTAAAGTGTTGTATTTTTATGTAGGTCCTTTATTGTATGTGCTGACTAGATGCTGCCATACTTTAACTTTACTTTCCATTTCAAGTTTATTTTACTTTAATTTCAGTCTGGAAAAGATCTGAGGTAATTGCAGAAGGTAAAATATATAGTACCTAGTTGTGTTTGCCACATGTTTTTGTTTCTTATCTTCTGCATTTTTTTCTCAAACCCACATTCAATGCAAACAAAACTCTGAGAATAGCCTTAATGATAAGTAGAACCACCTTTAGCCAAAATAAATGATAAATTTAACACATTGAGAAATAGACTGCATAAGATGCCTAAAGACATTGTGGGGTACTTACAACTATTTGTCCATGATCATTGTACATTGTTAATCCAAGAGAAAAGTAGCCATGGTCAAGGTTGTATGTATTATTCCAGACTGGTGGCATTGCCATTCTTAAAAACTCCTATCTCCACTTGAATACAGAAGCAACACCAGAGAAGGAAGTTGGTCTACCACAATGCCTATATATTCACATGATATCCCATGTCTCAGATTATGACACAACATCCAGTAGTTTGGATTGTTTTAATGATGTATGTGGAGTGCAATGCTTTATGAAATCTATGCCACACCCAAATCTTTCTCTCTGTTGCTAACATGATGAAACAGGACTTGTTGGACCACACAACCTTCTTCTTTTTCTCAATTTAAATACTGTAATTTATACAACCATTATTGATCTTACCAGAGTTTGAACATAATATTGAATACAGTATACCTGTGTTGATTCTACCATACAGCTCATATAGGTCTACAACAAATACTTCAATTTGTTTATAATTTAAACTACGAGGTTTTCTATCTTTACTTATGATGTCTAATTTTTTGTCAAGTATTGTATGTGCCTCTATTCCTGTAAGCCAGGTATACTACACACATTCCTGACAATATGACAAATATAACTGGGTTAAGGTAAATAATAATAACTTCCAATCAGAGTAAGGTATACACATAGAATGAAACTAAAAAAAATCAACCTGGCCATCATTATATCTAATTAGATATATATTTCTTATGCATCTACTTAAAATATTAGATTGCACTGTTTCATCAGTTGGGTACCCTTACTATAAATATTTTCAGCTTTAAAACACTAAAACACCATTTGTTGGGTACCCTTACTATAAATATTTTCAGCTTTAAAATACTAAAACACCATTTGTTTCTGTACATTTGTCGCTCATTTGTCTACATCTACTGATTTTTCCTGTGACAAATACAGAAGGTTGAATGTGTTATATTAAAATTATTCTAATATGCAAATCAGTAAGTCATGTAACAGCCAAGATAAAGTTGTGGTGGAATATTATGTATCACAACTACATTTTGACATTGTTTTGCATTTTGTTGTTAGTGTGATGCCACTAAAATCTGCTTGCTTTGGGGACAAATACATAACAACCTTTTCCAGCACAAAATATTCATGAACTCAGCTGGTGTTGCAGCTTCCTTTGCTATGTTGAGTTGAAAATTCTAAATCCTTGATCTGAACATATCTTTATTATCTGAGTTCATGAATATTTTATCAGATGCACATAACCTGTTTCTATGATGAGCATTTTCCTGTTCTACCAAGGTAGCCATCTGGGCTGAAAAACACATCAGTAACTTCCACTGCATTCTATCAAGTTCACATATCTGTTTTACATTGGATTTTCTGCACAGTCTCAACCATGAACTCAGATGTCTTTACAACCATTCAATTTGTTCTCGGACACTATATGGTTAAAGGTATACTAGCTACACAGCTAGCTCATTCACTTTTCTTTACTCACTGTGACCATAACCATTTTATATAGTAGCTGAATAGCCTCTTTTTATAAATACATATCATAATTGGAATAAACCGGCATTCTGACAAACAGCCATCTGAACAAGCTCAATATGGTTTCTGATAGAAAAAAGTGTTTTAGGTATTAGCTCCTTTTGCTGCAGTAGACAATGCTTATGCACTAGACTGAGCTTACAGTCCACTATGAAACAGCATTCTCTATGATAAACTGTGCAGTTCACTGTTTATGGGTTGTGATAGCAGTGAATAGTTTCACTACAGAGCTACAGCTCACTTGTACCACATACCATGCTGTCTGATAATGTCTATAAGATGCTAATTTTCAAAGCAAGGTCAGATACAACACTTTTTGTCCTGCAAGAAACAGTGTTGATAGCAAGGTAGTGTTTCTCCTTTATGTACTTTGAGTTTACTTCTAGTAGCTAGAATGAAGTCAAAAAGTGTCTTTATTTTAGGTCAAGCAGAACTTCGAAGTATCAGTGCTACCAAAAACAACCTCACACATGCTCAGACTTGGATGAGGTGAACTGGTCACTAAGCCTTCAGACACAACAAAACTGATGTGACAATGCTGGTGGCCAGAAAAAACCCAAGCTCCATTAGGTTCAACTAACCACAACAACAGCAGTCTTTGACTCTTCTTCTACTGTCTGGCAGTTAGCTACAAAAGCTTTCTCTTCTTTTTTGGACAAAATTTGGACAGCCCAGTTCAACAAACCTACAATAAAAACACAAATTCCATTCTTGATATTCAAAGTGCGATCTGTAGTAATATATCTGCAGTGGCAGCAGTATGGCAATGATTAAAGGAGTTGGATATGCTTGACTACTCACCAGAGACCATTTCAGCTGTATTGTGACACTTGGTGTTATGACAAAAAGCTTTGGACTGAGTATTTAAAGCTCAAAAGTACAAATAGGAGAGGATGATCTACTACAGCTACAGTTGCAGAATTCTTCCTCTCCAGCAAAATTTTCGATGTGATCATTTCGAACTGTAGTTCTACATGGACTTGCTCAGAAGAATCTCAAAAAACTTGATAATAAGGATCTTCAAATGATCTGCTCATGTCATTTTAGAGTGTATTTACATAGAGGTGTTGTAGATCATCTGCAGAAGTGACCAAATTCTCATTTGGTCCTCACCCCTTCAAACTTTGAACTGAACCCTGTGGATAGCTTGAGTCTCTACTGGTTCAAAACTTTAGTGTAATTCAGACATATTTATGTCCCTGAGAGTGTTCTCATTCAAAATGCCCTATGAAATCAAGCATCAGCCTGTATGTACTGAGCATCAGGTGTTGTATGTTGTTGGTAATTGCCTAAAATGTTTCAGAATATGATACAGATCCAGCAACAGCAGCTGTTCTTTCCTGATTGGGTTGATGATATCTAGAGCTTATGGCCTCCCCTATGTTGAATGAGAATGATCAGTCACATGAGTAGCACTAGTCATTATGGGTAAATCTGACATTTCCCCATTAAAAAAAGAAATGTTAGATTTAAACAGTCCACACATGACTACAAGTGAGTTAGTTGATGGGAAAACATCTTGAAGAAAAAAACAGTTAATCAATTCACAAATCCAATAGAAGAAGATCTTCCAGTGTCCTAACACAAGTATGCACATTGTGTTTTATCTAGTGAATAAATAGTTTTTATTTTGAGTTACACATTATGCCCAGTCTCTTTACTTTTTAGCTAAAACTCAGTTAGTAGTTAAATTCAGACTTACTTCATAACTTATTTTGTTGATCTTTCTGTTATAAAGTGAACCTACCTAACACTCTTTGCAGATATCAGTTTAACCTGAGAACATCACAATACTAAACCACCAATGTAAGGTAATATAAAGTTACTAGCTGTTTCTGCTATATTAATTGCATAAGTTACTCAGTTTTTTCTCTACTTTGCCCAGGCCTTGCACCTAGATAGAACCAATAACTATTCTAAAACAAAAATATGCAGCATTAAGCAAAAATGTCAGTTTCTTTAGCCTACAACTCAGTGAATATGCTACTATATTTCATATTTAAACGTCCAGGCCTCACAAACAGTTAGAATACATTTCTGATATTAAAATAAAAATGTGTATCTTATATATACATATATATATATATAATGCAAGATAATGTTTTTTCTGCTTTTAGTCTATTACTCAGTTTTCAGACCTCATGATCAGATGGAAAACGTTTGTGATACTACAACAAATATTGATGCAAAATATTCATATGAGTGACAATCAAAATGCTTTATTGCAAGAGATTTAGGCTGTTGAAAGTGAAATAATAAAGCACTGCTATATGAGATAGCGTCAATTAGGATATATAAGCCTTCTATAGTTGGGATCTCTAATCCCAAACTATATTGAGCTTTATTTTTATATCCACTTCTGCAGTCTGTTAAAAAATCTTCAGTGCAGAGGTATTGCTAGGTACTTAAAATATTTGGGGCTTGTGCCCAAAGGCATGAGAATTTTCAGCATTTCAGTATGATATCAATCATGGTTTTCTATTCTGATTTTTTTAAGACACCAACTGGGGACTCAGGGCACAGGTCCCATGTGCCAGTGCCTAGTGACACCTTTGCTTCAGTGTATTTTTAAAATTAAAACGAATTATACTACCCCACACTAAAAACAATTAAGTTTTACTATTATATATTACAAAACACAATTGTAATAAATATCAAACAAAAGAATGTTTTCTGGTGAACAGAACTTTCTAACATGAAGCATTACTAAACAAGTTAAGTTTTCTAATCTCATTCTTTTGATGTAGCTTAACTTACCGTAACCCCACATAAGGGCTATTAGTTCACAGATGGCAATAAATATCACACTGTAACCACTTCCATAAGTATCCATGAGGTTTAAAACATACTGTCCTCCCTGAGAAGAAAAACTGACCTTCACTAAACATCTTTAAAATATTAATTTACATTTTTGTATTTCTTACTTCTATACTTGATTGGAAAGAAACAGAAATTTCTTCATAAAGAGTTAGCATTTGAAAGTTTTACAATCATGGAATACTGAAGATTTATTTCAATATATATAATGCGGTTTGGAATATACTTTCAGATTGAACTATTACTGATAAAGTTGATTCTAAATCACATTACTGCATGGGTTAAGAGGTTTTACTGAAATATGTATGTGAGAATTAGGTACACCATTAAAATATTCAGTTACTTGAACAGTTTTCAGATACAAATAGTGAAATCAACTTACCTGAGTAACACAAGGCAATCCCAGAAAAAAACAGACAACACAAAAAAATAAAGTTATGATAAATTTATGTCTGCGTGATGATGGAAATTCATCATAAATAGCTGTCAGAAATGTCTCCAAGAGTGCAAACTGAAAAGAAATAAAATAAACTCATTTCTAGAGGACAATATTACTAGTAGAAGTGGTTAATATTTCAGCGTCAGATGTTTTAAAACATATCATGTACCAGATACATACAGACTGATTCACTGTTGAAGTGTACAAGTTATATTAATGCTACTGGATGTACACACAGAAGATACATGGAACACATACATATACTTGCAATTTGTGCATACTATAATATGTACATAATGACAAAAATATCTCCCAGCAAATATGTTTAGTTTCATACTTTCATAGTATAGATATATTTGTAATGTCACATTATTTGTTTTAAGAAGTATTTTATGATGTATGTTTTTTTATTCGATGTATACATAATAAGCAAACTGTATATATGTCCAAGTCACTATTACTAACATTTCAACAAACTACTATTACATAAACATCAAATAAAGTAAAGACTAGATATTTGTCACTTCTATATGATTAAAGATAAACTCAGTGGTGGGATTCAAATATTTTAACAACAGGTTCTCTCACTGTTCATTAGATATTAAAAAAAAAGAGGGGCCAGAAAGCCCCCCCCCCATCACTGAGAAAATAAAAATAGGCCTTCATGGATAGTGTTAAAGATTCTTTAGAAACTTTCAATTAAAAAAGTGTTTTATAATCTTTCAACTTAACAAAATTCAAATCTTTATTAATTTCTTCTATACGTAATACAAAATATATTTCAAAAAAAGTAAAGTAGAAAAAAACAAAAAATAAATAAAATGGATAGTAACAGGTGAAAAACAAATAAATGAATTATTAGAGAAAGGGGTCCTGTTATATTTGGGGCGAAAACACAAAAATTTATATTTCTTAAAAATTTAAAAAATGTAT